GCGCCGTGGCCCGCGGGAAGAGGCGGGGCAATCGCGGTTCCCGGCCGACCGCGCCGTCGTCGATCCTGGGCTATCTGCAGGAGGAGTGAGCAGCAGCTCCAGGCGCGTGCGCCAGCGCGCGAAGACGGAGCTGGCAAGCGAGGGCCAGAAGCGCACGCGCGCCCAGAGGTGGGCTCGTGGGCATTGCGCGGGCAGGGGGGCCGGCACCCCGCGAGGGTCCGATTAGTTAAGCCCGCGCGTCCCCGACGGCGCCGCCAGGCGGGTCTTCGCGCCCATCCGTTTGAGTTCTGCGGCGAGAGCGCAAAGCCCAGATGGATGCCACCATGGACGTCGGCAGCGCGCCGCTCTTCTCCGGCCGGGGGCTTCGGGGCCCCGAGGTGGGCAAGCGGGTCGTCTCGCTGGAGCCGATGTCCAGGCCCAGACATGCGACGTCCTGACTTTTTCAGGACGGCGTCCCCGGAAATCCAGACCCTTTCCCCGGGGCCGGTTTTTCATCCTGAGTCGTTTTTTGACGGTCCCGAGGCCCGGCGAGGGCCTCTAGAGGCCGAAAATCATGAAAAACCTCCGTCCTGAATTTTTTACGACGCGATCATGTCTGGGGATGCCCAGGCAGGTCGCCGGGCAAGCGCGCGCGCAGCCGCCGGGCTCCCATGGCGGATCGGGCCCGCAGGCACGCCCCCCAAGCGGGCGCCGTCGGGGCGGGCCCGGCCGACGAGGGCCGCCGCCACGCGCGGCGGCCCCCGGGGCCTCCTCGGCCAGCAGGGCGGCGCGCCGCGGTCCAGAATCCGCGCCCGCAGCCCGCGATCTGACACGATTTTTTCACTACTCGAGGGGGTCTGGGTTCCCAGGCCCCCTCGAGTAATGAAAAAATCATGACGGGAGGTTTTTCCTAATTTTCGGCCTCTGGGAGCCCTCGCCGGGCCTCGGGAGCGTCAAAATACGACTCAGGATGCGAAGCCGGTCATGGGGAAAGGGTCGGGACCTCTGGGGGTCGACGTAATGAAAAAATCATTACGTCGGGGGTCTGGGTTTTGACAGTGCCACCCTTCCGCCGGCCCCGCGCGATGACGCGCGCGCGCGGGGGGCGCGTTCGGTCCGCTCGGCGCAAGGCCGAGCGGGGCGGATCACCGGAGGGGGGCGGAGCGAGACGACGACAACAACGAGTGCGACATCAACATCAGCATCGACAACTACGAACCCAGACCCCCTCGAGTAATGAAAAAATCATGACGGGAGGTTTTTCCTAATTTCCGGCCTCCAGGGGCCCTCGCCGGGCCTCGGGAGCGTCAGAAAACGACTCAGGATGCAAAGCCGGTCGTGGGGAAAGGGTCGGGACCTCTGGGGGTCGACGTAATGAAAAAATCATTACGTCGGGGGTCTGGGTTTTGACAGTGCCACCCTTCCGCCGGCCCCGCGCGATGACGCGCGCGCGCGGGGGGCGCGTTCGGTCCGCTCGGCGCAAGGCCGAGCGGGGCGGATCACCGTAGGGGGGCGGAGCGAGACGACGACAACAACGAGTGCGACATCAACATCAGCATCGACAACTACGAACCCAGACCCCCTCGAGTAATGAAAAAATCATGACGGGAGGTTTTTCCTAATTTCCGGCCTCCAGGGGCCCTCGCCGGGCCTCGGGAGCGTCAGAAACGACCTCAGGATGCGGTTTCGTCGTGGGGAGGAAAGGGTCGGGGACCTCTGGGGGGTCGGTTCTGTGAAAAATCATACGTCGGGGGTCTGGGTTTTGACAGTGCCACCCTTCGCCGGCCCCGCGCGAATGACGCGCCGCGCGGGGTGCGCGTTCGGTCGTCGGCGCAAGGTCCCGAGCGGGGCGGATCACGAAGGTGGGTGCGGAGCGAGGTCGAGCACAACAACGATGTGCGACGAGCAAACATCCGCATCGACAACTACGAACCTTGACCCCTGAGTAATGAAAAAATCATGACGGGAGGTTTTTCCTAATTTCCGGGCCTCCAGGGGCCATCCGCGGGCCGGGCGGCCGGGAGCGTCAGAAAACGACTCGGGATGCGAAGCCGGTCATGGGGAGGGTCGGGACCTCTGGGGGTCGGACGGTCGTGATGAAAAAATCATTACGTCGGGGGGTCTGGGGTCGACAAAACTACGAGACAAATACCCCCCAGACCCCCGACGTAATGATTTTTTCCATTACGTCGAGATTTTTCCATTACGTCGTCCCCCAGAGGTCCCGTCCCTTTCCCCAGACCATGTTTGTCACCCTGAGTCGTTTTTTGACGCTCCCGAGGCCCGGTGAGGGCCCCGGAGAGCCGAAAATGAGCGAATAAACCTCCCGTCTTGATTTTTTCATTGATTCGAGGGGGTCTGGGAACCCGCAAGGTCAAATTTGCGCTCGCGCCACAAAAAAGCCACGCCAATAAAACAACAGCTTCTGCTTCGGACCCGGCCTCGGCCTCGGCCGGCCCCTGGCCCGGCCCCGGCCAGTCCCCCGATCCGGACGTCTCGATTTTTTCGAGACACGGGCCCCCGACCTCCCGACCCCAGACATAATCGCGTCGTAAAAAATTCAGGACGGAGGTTTTTCATGACTTTCGGCCTCTGGAGGCCCTCGCCGGGCCTCGGGGCCGTCAAAAAACGACTCAGGATGAAAAACCGGCCCCGGGGAAAGGGTCTGGACTTCCGGGGACGCCGTCCAGAAAAAATCAGGACGTCGCATGTCTGGGACCACTTCCCCAGGGCCGGTCTTTCATCCCTAGTCGTTTTTTGACGGCCCCGAGGCCCGGCGAGGGCCCCTCGAGGCCGAAAACTGCGAAAAACCTCCGCCTCGATTTTTCCGAGACGCCCGATGTCTGGGTCCCAGTCTCAGCCCCGGCCCCGGCCCTGGCCCCGGCTCCGGCCCCGCCGGCCCCGGCCCCAAACCCAGCCCCGGCCTTGGTGCTGGCCCTGGCCCCGCCGGCCCTGGCCCTGGCCCTGGCCCTGGCCCTGGCCGGCCCCGGCCTGGCCCCGGCCCCGGCCCCGGCCCCAGTCCCAACCTGCCCGGCCCCGGCCGGGGCTCCTGGCCCCGGCCCTGGCCCAGGTCCCGGCCCCAGCGCCCTTTAAATCGAACTACACCTCCCCAGAGATCCAACGCATTGAAAAGATCAAGGCGCAGGTTTTCCGTATTTTTCGGCCTCGAGGGGCCCTCGCCAGGCCCCGGGACCTTCAAAAAACGACTCGGGATGAGAAACCGGTCCCGGGGAATGGGTCGACACTTCTGGGGACCCCGTATTGAAAAAATCATGACATCGGATCTCTGGGTCCGTGGCCTCCCAGATGCCGAAGATGCCGAACCTAGCTTCAGAACAGCGAGCGAAGCCTGGAGGGCTCCAAGACGCCCCGAATGGTCCTGATAGGCAACCGGCGTCGTCGTCAACATCGTCAACATCCTCGCCATTATCTCCCTCTTTCTCCTCCTCATGATCGCCACGCTCCACTCGCCCCTGCCCTTCTTTCGTGCCCCCCCCTGCGACCCTGCTCGCCTCACTCTCCCCCTATTCATTCCCCCTGTGCTCTTACTCCTCCTCATCCACCTCTTCCTCCTGTCCCCCTCCTCATCTTCCTCTCCATGCTCCGCGCCCTACTCCCCAACCTCAGGGTCGGCGGCACCGGCCGCAAGGCCTTCGCAATAGGGGTGGAACCGCACGCGAACCCTGCCACTGGAGCCTTCGGCGAAGCTCCCTGTGGGGCCACGATGCGTGTGAGGGGTGTGCCGAAACGGGGGTGGAACCGCACGCGAACCCTGCCACTGGAGCCTTCGGCGAAGCTCCCTATGGGGCCACGAAGCGTGTGAGGGGTGTGCCGAAACGGGGGTGGAACCGCATGCGAACCCCGCCACTGGGGCCTTCGGTGGAGCTCCCTATGGGCCACGAAGCGTGTGAGGGGTGTGCCGAAATGGGGGTGGAACCACATGCGAACCCTGCCACTGGGGCCTTCCCCGGAGCTCCCTATGGGCCCACGAAACGTGTGAAGGGTCTTCCGAAACGGGGGTGGAACCGCATGCGAACCCTGCCACTGGGGCCTTCCCCGGAGCTCCCCATGGGCCCACGAAACGTGTAAAGGGTCTTCCGAAATGGGGGTGGAACCGCATGCGAACCATGCCACTGTGGCCTTCGGCGGAACTCCCTATGTGGCCACGAAGCGTGTGATGCGTGTGTGTGTGTGTGTGTGTGTGTGTGTGCCGAAATAGGGGTGGAACCGCATGCGAACCCCGCCACTGGGGCCTTCGGTGGAGCTTCATATAGGGCCACGGAGCGTGTGAGTGTTGTGCCGAAGTGTGGGTGGAACCGCATGCGAATCTTGTCACTGAAGCCTTTCGTGGAGCGGCCACGAAACGTGTGAGGGGTATGCCGAAACGGGGGTGGAACCGCATGCGAACCCTGCTTCTGGGGCCTTCCCCGGAGCTCCCTATGGGCCCACGAAACGCGTGAAGGGTGTGCCGCAATTAGGGTGGAACCGCATGCGAACCCCGCCACTGGGGCCTTCGGCGGAGCTCCCTATGAGGCCACGAAACGTGTGAGGGGTGCAAGGGATGGGAGGAGGCAAGGGGGGGAGGATGAAGAACCGAAGGAATGACGCGTGGCGCTGTCTCTTCCAAACGGGGGCCCAACACCACAGGATGGTCGGGAACAGTCTCGCGGATAGCTTGAGCTTCGAGCTTCGCCCTGCGCAGAGAGGGACCCCGTGGTGGCCCCCACGTAGAGGCCTCCTCGAGGGAGTCCGAGCAGATGCGGTCGAGGGATCGCGCCGCTTCACCGATGTATCGGCGACGCATCGCTGATGCATCGGCGATGCATGCATCGGCCAGGCACCGGCGACATCGGCGATGCATCGGCGACGTCGGCGCGGAGAAAATGGGGCCCCACATCGAGCCGCATCGCCGGTGCATCGCCGACGCATCGGCGATGCGGCGCGATTCTCCGACCCAATCTACTCTGACCCTATCTAGGACCAGGAAGCCTAGATCACGCCCCTCTGCCTGCGAGAGGCCA